GGCGCTGCTCTTAGCATCATCCCTCAAAATAAAACTGAGATTAGTCGAGAAACGTCCCCAATTACACTTCAAGCTGCAAATAAAACTAAAATCGCGACATTTGGGCAGAAAACTTTAACCCTAGATTTGGGGTTCAGGAGGCAATTCCCTCGGGTTTTCACGGTAGCCGACTTAGATCTGGCAATACTGGGGATGGACTTTCTAGAGAGATGCGAATTTCTAGTTGACACCAAGAAACGGCGATTAACACTAAAAGAAACTTCGTATTACACAAAAGGCAAAGAAAGTCACATCAGCTCTCCTAACTTGATTCAAACTCCTCCAGTAACAACAGCGAAATTCCAAGATATACTCGCGGAATTTCCAAACTTAACTAAACTAAACCCACAGCCTTCCAAAGACAAACTAAAAGTAAGTCACACTATCAAAACCGAAGGTGCACCGGTGTTTGCAAAACCCAGGAGACTAGCACCAGATAAGCTCAAAATCGCTAGGGCCGAGTTTGATTATATGCTACAACTGGGCATTATCCGTTCCTCTGATAGTCACTGGGCATCCCCTTTGCATATGGTCCCAAAGAAGAATGAAGGTGACTGGCGACCGTGCGGGGATTATAGAGCCCTCAACCGTCAAACCGTACCAGATAGGTACCCAATACTGCATATCCAAGATTTCACAAACGGTTTACAGGGAATGAACATATTCACTAAAATTGACTTAGTCTGGGCATATCACAATATCCCAGTGGCTGATGAAGATATCCCCAAGACAGCTATTACAACACCCTTTGGCTTATTCGAGTTTGTACGCATGCCATTCAGCCTGAGAAATGCGGCACAGACATTTCAAAGATTCATAGATAACCTACTTCGAGATATGCCATTTGCGCAGGGGTATATAGACAACTTGTTAATTGCCAGCCCCGATTTGCAATCACACGAACAGCATGTACAAGCAGTGTTGAAAAAGCTGGATGAACATGGAATAAACATACATCAAAGTAAGTGTGTTTTCGGTGTTAAAACTTTAGAATTTCTCGGTCACACAATAAGCCCAGAAGGGATTAAACCTATCAAAAAAGAAGTGAATACCATCAAACAATACCCCGTACCTAGTTCTCTAACACAACTGAGAAGTTTTCTAGGCCTAATTAACTTTTATCGCAGATTCATACCAGGTTGTGCACAATTAATGCAACCTTTGACAGATTCACTTAAAGGAAAACCAAAAGAATTCAAACTGTCTTCTGACGCCATCGAAGCTATTAAACAGCTTAAAGATAAACTGGCTCAAGCAACTACGTTGATATATCCGAATTCTCTTTCCCCACTTGCTTTGATGGTGGATGCTTCAGATAAAGCAGTAGGCGGTACCCTTAACCAACTGGTTAAAAACGCCTGGAAACCAATTGCTTTCTTCTCGAAAAGACTCGCTCCAGCCGGAACAAGGTATTCTACCTTCGGGCGAGAACTTCTTGCAATCTACCTAACCATTAAACACTTCCGACACATGTTAGAAGGTAGGGAATTTATAGTCTTTACGGATCATAAACCACTGACGAATGCATTGAAAGCGAGAGCTGATAAATACTCACCTCGAGAAGTCCGACACCTTGACTATATATCACAGTTCACAAGCGATATCCGACATGTCAAAGGTCAGGACAATCAGGCGGCAGATGCTTTATCTAGGCTAGAAATGAACGTGCTACAACAGTCCACAGTAAACTTCGAGACGTTGAAAAACGAACAAGAGCAGGATCTAGAATTACAAAACCTGCTTAAAACAAACAATTCAAGTCTTAATTTAAAACAGTTTCCATCACCTGTCGATGGTATTCTAATCTATTGTGACACGACCAAGGCAATGCCGCGACCTTTCGTTCCCAAAAGTATGCGAAAGTTGATATATAATAACTTTCATTCTTTGTCTCATCCTGGCGCAAAAGCTTCAACAAAACTAATCAATGCCAGATATATATGGCCGAATTTACAGAAGGATGTACACAAATGGGTTAGAGAGTGTTCAGCATGTCAACAATCAAAGATTAATCGTCACACAAATTCACCCATAGGTGTTTTCTCGCAACCAGATGCACGTTTTGCCCATGTGCATATCGACTTGGTAGGTCCTTTACCACATTCAAACGGTTTTAATTATCTTTTTACATGCATAGATCGATTTACCAGATTCCCTATAGCCATACCGATAGCGGACATCACAGCGGAAACAGTAGCCAAAGTTCTCATGCAGAACTGGGTAACCATTTTTGGTACACCCATAACAATAACGACGGATAGAGGAGCGCAATTCGAATCCGAACCATTTAATAACTTGGCTAAACTTCTAGGCTCCAATAGGATACGCTGCACTGCATATCATCCTCAGGCTAATGGGATGGTAGAACGTTTTCACCGTCAGCTAAAAACCGCCCTTATATCTCACTCAAACCCCATTCAGTGGACAGAATTCCTACCGTTAGTTATGTTGGGAATACGAACATCTGTTAAAGCTGACTCACAGTGTTCAGCTGCGAAACTGGTTTTCGGAACAACTCTGAGACTACCAGGTGAATTTAATAACCCTAATTCTAACAGTCAAAAACTTAATTTAAAAAATTATGTAGATCAACTACGGGACCACATGTCTAAACTTAAGCCGATTAATACTCGTGAACAATCGCGCGCCGTATATGTACCTAAAGACCTGAGCAATTGCACGCACGTCTGGATAAGATGTGACAAAATTAAAGCACCACTCAGTCCTCCATTTGAAGGTCCTTTCAAAGTCGTCTCAAGAAAATCTAAATATCTCGTGATAGAAAAACATGGAAACATCGACACAGTAGGTATTGATAGGCTAAAGCCGGCTTATCTAGATCATGAACCATCATACGTGTTGTTAGATCGTTTAACTGACAAATCCATTACGGAATCGAAATGTAAAGATGATAAATCTTTACAAATGACTAAAACGGTTCGCTGGGCACATCCAATTAGTCAGTCAAGGATGTTGACAGTTTCGGCTGCAGGATAAAATCTAACCACGTAGCTAATCACTTCTGCATCTACTTAAAAATATTTTTTTTCCTCATTCCGCCTCACCTACAACTCCCCAGACCTTTTACCTTTGATATATAAGTGTTATGTTAAATATTTTTTTTAAATACTGGACACATAAGCTAGGTATTCCGAAACGATGGCTGATGATTTTAATCAAACTCATACAACTAACACTGGCAAATAAAACGAATTCAAAAAGCAACCCAGGCGAGTTTTATAATTTCTTTTTCTGGTTAATTAACTATGTTGGCTGTACTTCTTATATATCTATATACATTTTTCACGTAGACTGGCTATACATAAATACCATATGAACTAATTCTAAAAGTTTTCGGTCGAAGATATGTTTAGTAGCTTGATACGATTAATACTACTGTAGTGACTCACGTTTATCACGAGAACACGACTGGTTTAATAAAAACAATTATTATTATAACCAACTGTACCAATGCTTGTTTTAATGTGCTTTTGTTTGACTGTGCTAATGACAGCTATATTGTGCTTCCATTCTTATACTTACACTTTGATAGTAACTTCGCGCGAATTCGGTTGCGTTCTGTAACCAAGGTTGTATCCTGGCACGATCTCGGTATCCTTTCGATGCCACGAGATCGCCAGCGAATATATCTCGATTTGGTCCATTAACTGTCTTCTGATATTTGGCTTCTCGGGGATTTAATGGATCTATTTGGTTACGTTCGACCTTCGCCTTCTGATTCATTTGGCACATGTTTCTTGGTAGCGGTGTTCATAGTTAACCTCAACTCGACGCCACGCCACACTACTATTAATAATTGCTTTTTTAGACAAAACATATTGGATTAAACCATGGTCAAGTACTTATTAAAGTTCTCATCATTTTTTTCCATGTTTAGGAAACTTGCGTAATGACTTAACCAGTTTTCCTGCAGCATGCCTTTTAGTGTGATCATATAACCCATCTTTATTGGTAATATTCAGATTTTTTTTAAATTTCTGACATTTAAGAATCAATAACCGTGAAGATATAGTACAGTGCGTTACTATAAGGTTACTATGTTAGCCGCGTTGATTCCACATACCTAATTTTAAACACAACTTATAAAGGAACTGTCAAGTAACCATAAAATTGAACTGACGATATGACTATCGTGGCTATGTTAACGTTAAACCAATTATTATTAGTGGTCCATACAAAATCCTGGAGCTTAACACTAGCGTTATAAAAAAGACATGTTATGTCAATAGCTTATACATATATACTTTTTTTCTCGTTGGTTTAATTATAACGTAAAATGGAAATCTACCAAACTTGTAGTTTTTTCTATAGTATTATTATTAATACAAACAAAGAACATGTACTGTTCCAATATGGAACTAAGGTGTTTTCGATAGATAGGTTAATCGAACCGACGTTCCTACAGAAGTCGATTCTAGGGGGAAGTTAATGTAACAGCTCAGGTTGGTTGGTTAAGAGTTGACCCCAAAGAACCAAGCATATGCCAAAACAGTATTGTTCAAGTATTCACTCACTTCCTTACTTTTTATAAGCGTTATATTCCCTATTATCTTATATTGAATGTTGAGAGCCTTTGTTTGTCTGAACAGATAATCCCACACTCCACTGTGACTGCGCGAAGATCGAAATAAAGACCTGTTCACTACTTCTCTGGTTTCTTCTATCAATAGTACGAGGGTTACCAGAAGGCACGAAATATACACTACTACAAACTAGGAATCCTAGAAATAACGAAATTTAATATAGAAGTACTAGATAAGCGCGAACGAAGGTACTGTATTTGGAATTCGAAATCAAGCATTCAACAAGCACAAAGGAATCGTTAGTTCATACAAACACCACAAATATCTAGCTTCACTATAAGTGGATTCATAACAGCGACATTCAACACAGTTGTCAGCTCAGTCAATCATACGGTCCACAATAAATCAGTATAAATTATGATAACAGTATGTTAGCGATGTTGAAGTATTGAAACTGCTGACGTTCGTTCTTTCGTATCGGAGTTGCGACGTAAAGGACTCATTTGTATGTTTTAGTTAGGTCAGAGGATAGTGAGCAGTAAGAACTTTCACAGAAGGTACACTTATGAACAAAAAACGATGTTTGATATATCAACTGAAATTATACCATTAATACAGGCAAACTTCTAATGATATTAGTATGAGCACCAACTTTAACATTTACCACCGAAGGAACGATATGAAAATTTATTCCAAAACAAATACGATCATCTAAATCTGGATTTCTAAAGAGGTGACCTACAACTAGCTGAACGTGCACTCAAATACTATTTGCTGATTGCATCGTCTCTATTTCGAATCCTTTCAGAAAGCATACCAACTCGGCACATCCACTCTGTGGCTAACCACACTTCTCAAGACTGCATCCAACTTCATAGTTAATTCCAGTAGTACCAACATGACTACGATTCTAGGAGGACTAAAACAAAAACTTTCTACTTTTCATCTGTTTATGATCATATTGGAAGTCATATTACATCCACACATACCAGACTTCAGAGGCTCCAATAACTGTAGTCTTCATGGTATGTAAATACTGCATAAGTATATTCTTTGGTGGCACATATAACAAAGACACTCGAAATTATGTAAACCTCAAAAAACGTACTCAACATTATGGAGCGTATCATAAATATAAATAAAGTAATAAGGCATCCTCGTATGATGGAATCATTCTTCTACAACTCGAAGATGTCTGTATTACATCATAGTTCTAACGATGTTTGCCATTTCAAAAATCTTATATATGTCACTACTACACATCAGTGATGAGCTTTCTATTCAATAACAGGCGAAACAAGTTCATCCCTATCTTTCCCACCACAAATATAATCCATTTGAGAATCTTTCGGTTGAAGTATAATATAGTGAAGATCTGTAGTGGCTCATCAATCAGTCTAGAAACGCTGAATGGTTACAGAACAGTAACAATGAAATAAAGTAAAATAATAGGGTTATAGCAGTTTTGACGTTCACGTGCCAACTTATCATTTGTAGTAAAGGAAGAAAGTCAAGCTTACATATTGGGTATCGAGACATTATTCTTAGTTGAGATTGTCAATCTACAGGAATTTCATCATTAACTGACATCACTTTTAGGGTTGTAGCGTGGTGTCGAGTTGTGGTTGACTATGATCACCACTACAATGAATCTACGTGCCAGTTACTGTGTTAGATCCCTTCACAGGCCAAAGATCGGAAGACAATTGACGGTCTTTATAAGGCATATTTGTTGGCAATCTCGTGGTATCGAAAGAACACCGAAATCGTGACAAAGAGTACAAGTGGAACTACTGAGCGTTACCGAGAGCGTCCAAGTTCACAGTCAACGGAAGAATGTATGTTTCTAGTACAGTTAAACAAACAAGTACAGTAAAACAGTCACTGGAACAATTGGTTATAATAATAATAGTTGTTTCCATTATACCAATCGCGTTCACTTGGAAAAAGTAGGTCACTACGCACTTATGATGGTAAAAGGTTTGAGTTAGGCATAAGATTAAGGAGATAGTTTCCAGTTAAATATGCAATTTAAAGTTGGGGTATTTGTCGTACACTGACCTCAGGTATAATGCAATCCTTTTCCATGCTGCACTTTCATGAACTTACAATTTGAACAGTATGTTAGAGAGGTAAAATATTATCCGGCTTCTTCAAATACATATAGAACTCAAAACAACTGTCAACCAATATCAAAGTCACAATCCTCAATACGAAAATCAAGACAGTTCTAAAGTACTCAGCTGAAACGTAGAGAAGTACCACAACCGTTATCGAAAATATGCAAATATTGCTAATCGATTGTCCAGGTAAGATTCTGAATGTATGTCAACTGGATACCATCAGCAGCAGCCTACTGTGGGAGAAAACAAACCAGCTTCCAGCTGAAGAAAAAATTGCAAAACGTCGTTGTGAGTGGTTGGAAAATTCATTGTGCAAATAATCAAATTTCCATCAAGAGACAAGCGCTAACTTGTGATCTTCAAGATGTAATGAAAAGAGGGTGGCCAATGAACACACAGTGTCGAGATTCGGAAGCTCCTACTTGGTTTCTAATACTTGCATATTTTTGATGACGGTTTGTGGTGTCTGTATGAACCAATGATTCCTTTGTACGTTGCAGCGTGGCGTCGAGTTGAGATTAACTATGAACACCGCTACCAAGAAACACGTGCCAAATAAATCAGAAGGCGAGGGTTGGACGTAACCAAATAGATCCATAGAATCTCCGAGAAGCCAAATATCAGAAGACAGTTAATAGACCAAGTCGATGTTTATTTGCTGGCGATCTCGTGGCATCGAAAGGATACCGAGATCGTGCCAGGATACAAGCTTGGTTACAGAACGTAACCGAATTCGCGCGAAGTTACAATCGAAGTGTAAGTAAGTATAAGAATGGAAGCACAAAATAGCTGTCATTAGCACAGTCAAACAAAAGCACGTTAAAACAAACACTGGTACAGTTGGTTATAATTATAATTGTTTTCATTAAACCAGTCGTGTTCTCGTGATAAACGTGAGTCACTACAGGAGCCCCCCGATAGAAAGGGTTTACACTTTCGATAAATAGCGGTTTGAATCTTGGGACTGATCGGCTGACGAGCGATTGTAGGACGGAAGAATTGGCGAACAGGAAAGCGATCGTTGATCGTCGAGTTGCCAACGAAGGTCGTTTTCGGAGAACGGTACCAGGAGCGATGTGTTGTATTTACTGGTTGAGTCGGCATGCTACACCAGAGTGGTTTGTATCCAGAATCTGAAGATGGCGTTCGTAGGGGTGCGCACCATAAACGCTGCAGACGTAGGACGAAACCACGTTGAGCCAAAAGACCAGAAGCGACCGTAACGACCAAGTTCGAGACCAAGCGTATGCCAAGCATTCGAAACTAATATATCGACTGAGTACGTTGACAAGAGCATGGGTGATCAGGCCAGCTTTCGCCAAAGTTGACTGAAGTCGACGGAACCAAACGGAGATGGTCGAAGGTGTGGGCTCAGGAAACAAAGAGAAAATCAAAAAAAGAAGAGTGTAGCATACTGTAGTATAGGAATAATCCTACACCGTATCGGTTGTTGACTGTGCGACTATTCGCGGAAGCGTGCGGGTAACCGTACTCGGCGACCGGAACGTGAGACAGCAGTCTCGTTCGTATCTCGTGAGCCTGCAATCTCATCCGAGGTCAGGCGGCGTGGTCTGCTGATCTGGACGTGAGACTGTCGTCTCATCCGTAGACGGTGCAGATGACGCGTGCTGTTGACTGGGACGTGAGGATGAGGTCTCAGATGTATCTAGCGTGGGACCTGAAGATGGTTTGAGGACCCCGCTAGTAGGTTTGCTAGGTCTAGCATTGAATCTCAGGTTATCAGATAGGGCACTGTCATCGACGTGTGCTGGTTTGAGACGATCAATGCTGAGGATCTCGACGCGGCCGTGTCGATCAACCTTGAAGGTCTTTTCGTGACGAGCGATCACGTGAAAAAGGCCTTCGTAAGGTTGTTGCAAAGGTTTGCGTACCGAATCTACTCGTATGAAAACATGTGAACAGGTAGATAACTCTCGAGGGAGAGCGACCTGTCGATGTTGTATTCGAGTTGACACCGGAGACAGCGTTCGCATAAATGCAGACAGTGGTTGGACGTAGTCTGATTTACCGAAATCATGTCTGCTCCGTGGTGTGAAGAATTCCCCGTGCCGCATACAAGTTCAGCGGCGGAACATTGGATATCTGCCTTTAAACTCGTTCTGATACCTAAAAGAACGAGCGGTAAGGTTTCGTACCAGTCGTCGTTTTCGTGTGCTCGAAGAGCACTTTTAAGTTGACGGTGAAACCTTTCCACTAAACCGTTTGAAGCTGGATGGTAGGCGGTAGTGCGTATGCGTTCCGTACCAAGCAGCCGAGTAAGTGAGGAGAATAGTGCGGACTCAAATTGTTGTCCTCGGTCAGTCGTGACAGTCGGGGGACAACCGTATAGAGCTATCCATCGTTCTACGAAGCGGTGAGCAACTGTCTCCGCCGTGATAGACGTGATGGGTATAGCTTCGGGCCATCTGGTGAAGCGGTCGATGCACGTGAGTATGTGATCATACCCGTGCGATGGTGGCAGTGGTCCTACAATGTCTAAGTGAACGTGATCGAAGCGAGCATCAGGCGTAGCGAATGTACCGAGGGGGGCGGCTACGTGCCTGTGCACTTTTGATCGTTGACATTGTAAGCATTGCTTAGCCCACATACGAACATCTTTATTCATGGACGGCCAAACGTATCGTGCAGCGATGAGGCGTAATGTAGCTGCCATACCTGGGTGAGATAATCCATGCAGGGCATCGAATACGAGACGGCGATAAGCAGAGGGTACGATGGGTCGAGGAAGACCGGTAGAGGTATCACATAGAATGGTGCCAGAAGTCGTGGCTAGAGGTACTTCCTGATACTGAAGGGACGTAGAGTGTGGTGCTTTTGTACAGCTGGGATCGTTTGCTTGCGCAGCGGCCATAGCAGGAAGATCGAGCACCGGCAGGGTGACTGCATTCATTTGGATTCGTGATAGAGCATCGGCAACACAGTTCGACTTGCCTTGGATGTGACGAAGGTCTGTCGTGAACTGGGAGATATAGTCCAAATGTCTGCACTCTCGTGGTGAGTAGCGGTCAGACTTGGTATGCAAAGCATACGTTAAGGGCTTATGGTCGGTGAATAAGATGAATCGACGTCCTTCTACTGCGTGCCGAAAATGTTTGATGGCGCAGTAGGCTGCTAGCAGCTCGCGACCAAAAGCGCTATATCTCGTCTCCGTGGTAGTAAGGCGTCGTGAGAAAAACTCGAGGGATTGCCAACTACCGGAGATGTTTTGTTGCATGACTGCTCCTATAGCAACGTCGGATGCATCAACCGCTATACTAAGCGTGGCTGATGGATCGGGATGGGCGAGAAGAGTGGCTTGCGCAAGAGCCGTTTTGATTTCAGTGAATGCAGTACGTGCAGAATCGTTCATTTCTAATCTGCGTGGGTTGCCGCGTAGTAAGTCGGTTAGTGGTCGTAACCGTTCTGCCGCGTGTGGGATGAAACGACGGTAGAAGTTAACCAAACCGAGAAAAGCCTTCAGTTCCTTGAGTGAGGACGGCACGTTGTACTCCTTTATTGCTTGCACTTTGTCCTCACAAGGTAGGATACCCTCTTGCTTGATAACATGACCCAAAAATATTATTTCTCGTTTACCTAACTCGCATTTGTCTGGGTTAACTACTATTCCATTATCCGAAAGGCGTTGGAATAATAGCGTAAGATGTTGATAATGTTCATCTATGTTTGATGATGCGATTAGCAGGTCATCAATATAGACGTGAACAAAATCGAGGTCTCGTACAATGCTATTGATAAACCTTTGAAAAGTTTGAGCAGCATTCCGTAATCCAAATGGCATTCGTAGGAACTCAAACAAACCGAAAGGAGTCGTGATAGCGGTCTTTTCGATATCTTCAAGAGCGACTGGGATCTGATGATATGCTCGTACCAGATCGATCTTAGCAAAGATAGTCGTGCCCTTGAGCGATGCCGTGATGTCGTGTATGTGGGGGATGGGGTAGCTATCAAGGCGCGTAACTACGTTTAGAGCTCGGTAGTCGCCGCATGGTCTCCAACTAACCCCATCTTTTTTGCGCACCATGTGTAGAGGAGAGGCCCATGGACTGTGAGAAGGACGAATAATACCAGTAGCTAGTAAATTGTCAAACTCACGCTTAGCAAAAGCTAATTTGTCCGGTGCCAGTCGGCGAGGTCGTGCCGTGACTGGCGGTCCGCGGGTGACTATGTGGTGTACCACACGATTGGTCACCGATGGAAGCTCCTCGAGTGGTTTAGTGAGTACGGGGAATTTCTCGAATAAAGCGTGGAATTTATCGTCACGCGAGTAAAAAGTGCCGAGGATTCGGTACGCGTTCATGTGGGCTTTACAGCCCATGAATTTGCTGTTCGACGAAGTATCGATTAGCTGCAGCCTACGTGAATCGACAAGCAATTCATAGTGCTGTAGAAAATAGATACCTAGTATGGCTGTGGGAACATCAGCAATGATGAACGTCCGCAGATACCGTCGTCGGTTGCCCAGGTTGACCGCGAGTTGTCGTGTACCGTAGGTAGGAATGACAGCCATTCGCAGCGCGTAGTCGAAGCACTGTGGCTTGTGACTTGCTGCTACCTCGTGGTACGACAGAAACTTGGGCCCCAGTGTCTACTAGGAACCTAGCGTTTGTGCGATAATCGTGCACATAGAATAGGCGACCAACCTGGGGAGAAGGGCCGGCGAGTACGGCCGCTTTTACTCGCCGGCGCTGGCGTTTCCCGCCTTGTATGAGCATGGTGCTCGACAACGGCGGGTGCCAGATCAGAAGGCTGCGTGTTCGATCACGTCGGGCTCACCAATTGTAGCGTGGCGTCGAGTCGAAATTGACTATGAACACCGCTACCAAGAAACACGTGCCAGATAGATCAGAAGGCGAAGGTTGGACGTAACCAAAGAAACCCATAAAATCTCCGAGAAGCCAAATATCAGAAGACAGTTAATAGACCAAGTCGATGTTTATTTGCTGGCGATCTCGTGGCATCGAAAGGATACCGAGATCGTGCCAGGATACAAGCTTGGTTACAGAACGTAACCGAATTCGCGCGAAGTTACAATCGAAGTGTAAGTAAGTATAAGAATGGAAGCACAAAATAGCTGTCATTAGCACAGTCAAACAAAAGCACGTTAAAACAAACACTGGTACAGTTGGTTATAATAATAATTGTTTTTATTAAACCAGTCGTGTTCTCGTGATAAATGTGAGTCACTACAAACTCATGACTCAGCAATATGGGCTACCTGTCTGTTAAACAACTGTCTACCACAGTTGGTTTTTTTACAGTTGTTTCGACGTGTTTCCTTTTATTTGGTGTATATAGGCTTAATAATAAGCCGTTACTAAAGCATCATGAATAAATCTTAGGAAATCATGTCAATGAAGATTTCTGCGTATTATTATTGTATATTGAACTGATATCAAGAAGCGTACAAACGTAAAATTATTGATCTCCTAGTGTGCTAATCTCTCAGTTAACACGATTATATTTTTATAAATTGTTGTTAATTATTTCAGTATGTAACTCTACTGTATTCTAGTAATTATTTCATTCATATTTGACATGTATTTAGTGTAAAATCAGTTTAAAGTCGGAGTTGTTTAAACGTCTATTAAATACTAAAAAGTTTATTTATATAAGAAATTCTATCTCTCCATAGAATATATATTCTTCGCACTTCGGCTGTCTCTCTTGATAGATAGGGACTAGTCGAATATTAAAGACATAGTGTTGAAATGAGATTGCGGACGTCCACTAATCGCGTTCACTTATTTCGTTCATTACTGCGTTATTATATTTCGAACTACGTCGTGGTAAGGTCCAGGTTATAACTTATGACACAACATAGACAATGTTAGATGTACCGCAATGAAATCTTTATCATCAACAGATTGATTAGGTATTATATTCCTATTGTTATAACCAACTCGTATTTGCCTATTTAATCAAGTGAACAGTGAACTTTGGAGAAATTATTGAAAATCCGATAACCGATGTTATTATTTATGGTAAAGTGAAAGCATTTATTGGCTGTTTTATTAAACTGTGTAGTTTGCTATTAGAGATATAACAAATTATATTTGGTTCTTAGTCGAGATTCGTACCAGATTCATGCCGTCATTTAAACTGCAAATTTCCACTTAGTTACTTCAAAGTAACAATTCCTTCAATGAAATTTAATGCTTCTGTCTATATTATGAGGTCGTGTAAGACGTATCGTATCAGTAGCTTTTTAAATGCCTTCCATATGTTGTGACACTTAAAGGCTTTTTACCAGGAAATTTCGTTTTGTTACAAGTATATGTGCATTTCTGAGTATCGTTAAAGTGCCGTTAAATTATTGCTCGTTTGGTATCTAATATATACACAACTCTAGTGTCAGGAACTGTAAATCTGCTCTTAACACCTTGTTTCAAGTAGTCAGAAATTAACTTTTGCATAGTATTATAGCGAATAATCAAATCATTAACCTCTAAGTTGTATTGCTAAAATTTGATTAAAGACAAATTTCCTTGTCATTACTCTTTGAGGAGCTGGAACAAATTGAGGAGACATGGCATTCTGAAGTTCAGGAACTTTCCCAACTAATTGAGAAGTTAAAAGAAGAAAACAAACAACTTAAAGATGCAATTGAAGATAATGAAGCATCGACTAACCATTCACCGATTCCAGCTTGTTCTGCAAGTAAGGTCATACCCTTAAAGTTTCTAAAAATCCATAATATACATGTGTATTTATAGATTTCATTCTAACTTGCCATTAACTACGAACAAAAATTCACACTATCCTCTAAGTTGTAGTAGCATCATAAACTTGCTATGTAAATATAAACTTAATATAACTTTTGACTTATCTCAGAATCCTTATAAATTTGTAAACCCAATTAGAAGTTGATATTGACGATAATTATCGGAAAATTTGGGATCCCATTATTTCAGCCTTAATTTTTGACGCATATCTGCCTGACTTAACGCACTTATAAACATATTCTTCTATGAAAGAAGATATAATGACAGTTCAATTGAGTGTAAGATATCTTGCTGGACTCAATGAAGTTTTATTAAATTGTCAGTGCCATCCACTAATTCGTTTGCTTTCAATGAAATAAAATGGCAGTGAGTCGTTGTGATGCTTGGCTTATCTGGACCGTGCATACAAACACCGTTCTTAAATTAATTTAAATATTTGAACACTGACTGAATCTATTTAAAGAATAACTGGAAACCAGAGTGTATTAAAAACGTTTAACTCAATTCTTTGATCCAGCGATGATGAGTACACATGACTATTTACTGTGAAACTTGAAGGTCCTAGGTCCCGTTCCTTATTAAGTTGTTGGTACCCACTACTGAATTTCATTGTACTCTAGATTGACTATCCAATTTCTTCTGCTTTTCCATAGTTCTCTAAGTGATATCCGCTCATGATAGAGGTTAACAAAAAGCAATTAGTATTTACAAAAATCCTATGTTAGTGATTATATTTTAGCTTAGTAAATTTTACTATACTAAACTTATTATAAATACTTAAAAAATGTTAGAGACTTTGGATGAAATGGCTCAAGATAGTTCTCAATGGCCCAGGTGCATTCGTTCTGTCTTCCCTGAGTCTTGAAATCTCCATTTACCTTTTTCTATTTCTATGCATAATCTTTTCTACCACTACTGATGCTGCTACTCTATTTACTACTTTAGAATCTTCCTTGATATTTTTGTCTCCCTGTGTAGTCAGTCAGTCAGCTACAACGTAGGACCAGGCACATATGTGCATCGGTCCAGGTTGCCATACCTCATTAGCACAGCAAGATGAACACCGGATTCATAGGAGTGGTTAGGTCAAAGGTTGCAATAAGGATATAGTATAGGAAGAAAGAATTAGTTCGTAGAAAGAAAGATATGAAGTGATTCTAATCTCTTAGTTTAAGGGAAGACAGGGAGTGTATACCCTGTGTAGTATAACAAATTGAACGAATGCGCATGTGTGTAAGGCTCTACGTTGCACATGATTGACTCACTCACTTAGGAAAGTGATTTTACTGTTCTCCATTTCCTTCTATTGTTCAGCATCCTTATTTATTCATTTACTCTCTAGATTCTACAAATGTCGAGGAAATACAACTTATGATACGCCTTAAAGAAGTTATAGACCGTCAGAAAATACTAATTCGTTCATTACGTCAACAGCTTACTCAAAAACATGTTGATTTAGATGCGGTACGTATATCCTTATTCGTCATTATTTTTGTTTTTTAATTACGTTTTAATAACATTGTATTTAAAAAACTGTGATATTGACCAATCTTCAAACTACTGGACACTCAGTCATTAAAAACTGATTTCTTATTATCTTTGAAATTTGATCGGTGAATCAACGGGTGTCAACACTGATCTATATTTTCAAACTTTGCTCTGGAATTTTCATTTTACAACATTGTGAATGACTACAATACGATTATGTAACCTTAATTTGTGTATTTGGTCGTTATAAACTAATAATGGACCTGTTTACGTACCAAGTTCTTCCGTTCCAATTTTAAACTATTTATTATCATGATTATTACGGTTATGATGCTAAGTATGTTATCAAGCACTTAAAAATGAAAAAAATTACTTCCATTTTTGTAAACAAATTGTGTTAAACATTTAAATGATTTCAATAATACCAATGTACTACGTGTACGTACATAAGATTAAAAGTAGTGATGGCAGTTTCAGTAAGTACTGTCATCGATCTTTGATCAGTGAGTTACAGACTATAAGCCACATTACTTTTACTTTTAGTCAACCGCTCTATTTTATTACTCGCTCCTACACAAATAATATGCTTAAAACTATTTACACAAATCTATAATTAATTGTTAATCTGCATTTGAAAGTCAAATATCTTGTATATTAGATTTCCTTGTGTTTTACGAATAAGAACAACACATATAAGCGAACAACTGTTTTCAATTAGATCGTCATCAGGCTTTACTCCAATATACATGAATATTTATACGAAAATTTTTAAACCAATCAAGGCAATATGGGTCAATAATCACAATGAAATAGAGGGACTAATTACTGCCAGTCCTTCATTTATTAGTTTCGAAATAGAACGGTGGCTCAATGGTCAGGACATCTGACCCTCAGCCACCAAGTCGCAGGTTCGAACAATATTCCACCTACTTCAGTCTGGGAAACCGTGTAGTATCACTGTCTTTTACGTTTGCAGCGTGGCTCAAAACCAAGTACCTATCAAATAAGTTGGAAGGAATTTACTAGTTTTTAAATTACGTGTATTGTTATTTCTAGTAATTCTCTAACCTCCAGAAAGAAATATATATTTCAAGTTATATGTCTTGGTTCTCAAAATATTTAGTTAGAACTGGGATAATGATTTACTAGTTTTATGTCGTCGTTGATGTTTTACTTGGTCTATAAATTTATTAGAAATTACTTTAATCTCTCCGAAACTTTTCCCTGCAATGATCTGCGTTTTTCCTCAATGGACTGCCTTCTTTAATATGTTGCTTGCCTCATGTTTTCCAAAAATAATTACCGACTGTATATTTATAAACTAGCCGTACATAAATATCACCTTGTATAGCGATAAAAAAGGGTCTCTTGCAAAAGATTACACTTTAGCTTCTTACTGTGCGTGCGTGTCCATATTAGTTGAAGTGTTGTTGCTGTAAATCTTGAGCTTGAACTAGGTTTGTATAGTCCGCAGAATTTGTATTAAATATCTTCCTCATAAGTACAGTCAGTGCACATTAGCAGTCAAATATAATGAATTTCTTAAGTCTTGGCACACAAATATAAACTCAGTTGCGTATCTTGAGTTTCTTTGGTTTTGTTTAGTAAGTATAAGTTGATTTAATCAATTTGTACGTGATATATGACAGGTTTGTATCCCAATTCATTCAAAATAGTATTTGATTTCTAATGGATGCACAAACACTGCATCGTTTTAACATACCACACTTGATGAATTTATGAATTAATGCTTTTTATTCTAAGATTTAATCATTAATTTTTTGTTCTTTGGTTATTTGGGACGCTTTTACTAAATCATTGCCAGCAGACCAATGATATTCGAAGATATCTAGGATATTGTGACGAGTATTTAAGAATTCTTACGATCTGTCAGTCAGATTCATACACAATTACATGCTTCTTAACATTGATCCAACCAGCTATATATATATATATATATATATATATATATACCATTCTAGGCAGGATACTTGAGTTTGGATAAGTGAATAGTTCTCTTACTCACAGTATGACGCCCACACTCACCTAGATCACGACCTTGAGCCAGCACATGATTTGCCTGGAATTTACCCTAACAAAAACATTTCAACTATTTCATCATGCTCTACGTAGATGGTGAAACTTACCCTATGTAATAATTTTACAATTAGTGTCCGGAATTCTATTTTTTGCATCATCAAAGTATAAGGAACAATATTTTTGAGAAACTATCTCTCTTGACCATAATGCTTAATTATTAGTTTGTGAAATATCTTCGCATGTAGGTTCCTGTAAATGGTAATGAAGTATTTATTATTTATTTGTTTATTTGAACACATAAATACTGGTACAAGGGGGCACCAGATACATATGTGCCACACTAATCTCACTTGATTTGCGTGAGGGCTGTGATACTGCCCGGGTGTCCAAACCGAACCAGGTGGTTTTCTTAAGGGCCTACACCCAGAGCCTTCGACCTAAATGTCTGATCCACAAGGCAGTGAAGCATCGTAAGGAGATGCAGTCCCATGGTAGTCGGTGACCGACGATTGGTTCATACGCCATTTGTTCCTTCAGGATCCTGGAGCCCATGTACACCATTGGTTTGGAATCAGGGTTTTCCAACTCCCCTTGGTGGACTCTCCATGTCCACCAACTCGATTAAAGCGCCGGACGTTCGCTTTTCATCCTCTCAATTTCGTAAACAATACCTTTGCCACGAGAAGGCAGTGAGTCGGACTCCCCTGGCAGAGGCTATATACGCGTGTCCATGTGAGAACATTTCGGGAGAGAGAGAACGGACTCTCCCCACCCTCGTCCATACCAGGGCATTTTGGGGCAAATGAAGACAAAATAGAGTTCTGTAATTTTAGAAGTGTGTACACTTATCCATGTGCATTACTGTTTCAATTCCAGATTGGTTATAAAATTCGAGTTTGTGCGAGTTATGTACTAATAATCTTACATCATACCTGGAAGCTCGAAGCTTTTATTCTCTCAACAAGGTCCTCTTCATGTACTCGCTTCAGTCGCTAAAGCATTCCTTTTTGCTTCTCATCTTATCAGCTTTGAATGACCATGGTGCTAATTAAAAGAAAGAGGTGAATAAAGTTTGAAACTGCTAATTATGAGATGTGAAGTGAATGGTGTAGGTGTATGAGCTAATTAAATAGTGACGAAATTTTTGTTAGATCTAAAAGTCAATTTTAATTTCGATAAGATCAGAGAGAATTCACCTCTAAGGAACTCGTTCCCATTTAGTACTTCTCAGCTAAATTGCATTATTTCTGGGATTTCTAGTTCCCACTATAATTCAACTACTCCTAATTATCTCATGGTTGCTGTAGTTCTCTACGTTTCAGCTGCGTACAGTAGAATTGTCTTGATGTTCGTATTGAAGACTGTGACTTCTATATTGGTTGACAGTCGTTTTGAGTTTCATATGATTTTCTGTTGTAAGAATGCTGTACTTGTTTTACTATTTCCTTCCTTTACGTCTGCATCATAACCTCTTTTTTCATAGATTATTCTTCCCAGGCGTGTGAAAGTTGTAACCTCTTCCAGAGCTTTAGATTGGTGTTCCTCCTGTTGTATCTGAGGATCTTGACTTTTTTCTTTATGTATGCTGAAGCATACCGATGTAGAAGCTTCAGCTAAAGTGGTTGTCTTGACTTGTATATGCTCGTAAGTATGGAATAGAACGGGTAGTTCATCTGCTTCCCCTAAGTTGTGGAGGTCTTCAACCACCAGAAGGATAAAAGGGAAGAGTGAGCATTTTTGTCTGACTCTGGTCCTTCTAACGTGATGCAAACCAAAAATATAGTGAATATATAAATAAAAGCATCAGAGATGCTAACCTAACATGTAAGTGAAAATGGGCAATTGTCGTTATATAGAAAGTTTACACGGAAATATTTTCGCTCAAACACGTCAATGGCCTTACACCATTTTATTGTTATACATTACACATTAAAATTGAGGTAAGGTTTATCACTTTATTCGGTAACATACATTTAGATGCGATGAGGAGTTCCCGACACCAATCTTAATCCATTACAACGGACTCCTTTTATTTCCAATCTAAAGTAGATTCCAAAAACAATGTTTAAAAATGGATTTACAAATAATTCTTTTTGCAGAATTCATCTTCAAAAGCCATATCATCATGTTTGCACACAATAAATAATACCACGAACATGTATTGTGTATTAGTACATCTATATTATTTGGATTATGATCTGTACAGTGTAAAATAAATATTTTTAGCATCAAAGGTTTATTCAGCTCTTAATATTCTTGCAGTTTCACTGTATATATAATATTACTTCATGAAGAGCATTATGATGCATTTGTACTTCACTTGATGTAAAATACACCTCGTTCCTCCAAAGATAGAATGAAAGTGAATCTATTAAATAATGTGATGTCTTCATCTGAGTACCAGAATATTTCATATAGCGATAGGTTGTGGGTATTTTATAAAAAATGAGAGTAACTACTGTAATTGACAGATATTATGAGTCAGAACTCATAGAAAATCCCTCGTTATGTGAGTATTTTTGAGGTTTAAAACCAACACTTAGTTATAACGCTGTCTCAATAAGTTGAATGTTCAAATTTCTTGTTTGCACCTTTCCACTTGGTTGATTTTTGTTCAATTTCATATTTTTCACAATTCGCGGATACTTTTTCTTTGGATTGAGTAAGAAATTGAACTGATACACGACTTAATAACATCCTTTATTGTAGTCTGACAGTTTCTGTAATATTAACATCAACAGGTAATATACATTTTCAGTATTATCATCAACTGTCAACCTCGTAAAATGAAATAGCCTAGAAGTAAATCTCAATAAATCACCTGTCATTTCGTAGGGATAGTAACATGACGACGATGGTCTTAATCTATTATTAGAAACGACATACCAAGGTGGTGGTCTCCAGTTGCTTATGACAATTATTTTTCTGTTACCAAATGTATAAACATGTTATTTTATCAGGAAAACCAACTTCAAAAGATAGTTTTCTTAACTTCTGAGATTTATCCTCGTAATCAGTCATCACACAGCCGCACTGCATTATTGCATATTATCTACCGATCATCACTTTTCTTTCAACGAGGATTCGCTCATAAAATCTTAATTTGTGACAATAACTAGGGTTTATATTCCAGATCAGTTGATTCGAACGACTTTTAAATGACAAATACTTGATAACCAAAAGATTTTTTTTTGATTTCCAGTACTGCACAGCCGTCACGCACTATTCCTAACTAAAATGACTAGATTTTGTAGACAACAAAAATAGCTGCTTTCCGATTGAAAATACAAGAAACTAATGACATTTAGCATGATTCTAATGAGTTTATAGAATTTAATGACAGCTATCATACGATATTCGGCCTTTCGGTATAACAAGAAAATACGGAACACTGTCAGCTACATAATGAAGCTCATATTCCAATAGTATGTATGTTTTGAATTCACATGGATATATATTTATTTAGGGCTTTTAGGAGTTATGTTATTCAGTGAGAAAGCTGTTTTGGTGTTGTAAAGAATTAGATAATTTTAGCTTAAAAATGCTTACGTTTAACATTTAGTAGCTATGAATGCCAATCAGGTTTCAACTTAAATATTGAGTGCTTATACCTAATGCTTAAATAATAATTAGTAAAATGGAAACTGATATGATAGAAACGAATATCCCTGTAAGTAACCTGATTATTTTACTACGGATTACAAATAAATCCAATTCCCAATCAATCAACTGTAATGTTTTTATAATGAAAATCTTCAGTTACATAATACAAGTGGATTTTACATTGTAGAAATACTTATTAACTGTCAATGTTTCAAGTAAAAGCTAGTTACGTTTCCTTACTTTGTACAGTGATAATTAGACGGGTTTGATTTACGTATAAATAAGTGTCGTAGAGTACTTTAATATTTCCTTTTTAGAACAAAAAGAAAGTGTAGATTTAAAAGTCTAACAACAACGAAAAGGCAAAAACGGCAACCATCAAATAATGTTATCTAACATAGATGGAAACTTTTAGAAATAGTAGATTTTGGAGACTGTACAATATTTATATTTTGCTTCCACAATTTACCGCCAACGCCAAGTTGGGCATCTGGATTTGATGGACCACATGGTGTTAGGCTAATATCTGCTACTAATGAGACAGATTTTGAATCGACTGTCGGAGAAATTAATTGCAATACAGATTGTGTATTTCCACTTGAATTTATATATGATGTTGGTGAATTTGTGCTGATTGATTGTTGACAATCAGAATCAGATAAATAAAGATAATATCCACGCGGAGGTTCATTCGGATTTTCAACAGTAATAGAGTTAGTTAAATGTGCACCTTCATTAGTATTAGAGACTGGAATACTATTTACTTTTAAAGACGAATTTGAGGACATCTCATAATCTGAATGAACTGAACGTATATGCCGATCTAAATTAAACCTAATTAAACAAAAAATATTATGCATTTACGTAATGATAAGAAATAGATAGCTCACAACTGGATTTTTAATACGAAAACTTTGTTATTTTATATAGAAAGTATAATGCAGATAATCCGTGAATCCAACTTAACCGAAATTTTAAAGTTTTAAGTTCAACAGTAGTGCTGAAGCTACAAAAAATTCTAGAGGAATCAATTATCTGCGGACACTTTGCGAATCAGGACAAATATAATTTCATTGCATATAGTATAGTCCTCAATGTCAGTTGCATCTTTCGTGCTATAAGTGAATAAATAGAACTTGTACCGCGAAGAACCTCAGTTAGTAATCCTTTTAACTCAATAACCAGTTTTAAGCAGAGATGGTTAGTGGTAAACAGTAGAATCCATGACGCGCTTTTTGCTGAATGCGCCTAAAGCTCAAAGTTGATATTCACATTTGGATGTAATAGCGATAACGAAGTATTTCGTACAAAGTGCACTTGTGCCAAAAGAGACTGGTCAATTAAAATCTTTAACATGAACAAAAAGATCCAAATAGCCTTGACAAATGAATTGATTAATCAATTGCATGAAAATTCTAGAAGACCATTTGTTTTAAAACGGGTATTAATCTTTTCAATGAAATGATCAAGTACTACACTACAAAAAGTTTTGCTTGGAATAAATAAGTTTATTTATTATTATTTCTAAAAATAATAAGCATTGGTGCTTATTAAAAATCATTCTATATTAAATAGATTCAGTAAGATCTAGGATTATCTAATTTTGTGAATAAGTTTTTGTTCTGGTAACAACAAAACTGATCATCATTTTTAAAAATCGTTATTCACACATAACCTACACCACTTTTTGGTTGGTTGTTACCAATTTTTTACTCACGTTCTTATGTTTGAGGTCATATTGGGTTATTACATAGACAAGGTCGTTCCACCTTGATCTTATCGTCGTCGAATATTAAGTTTCTTCTACACTGCTGCCTTTCTTTTAGGTTTTACAGTTGAGGATTATGCTGAATAGTTGTGTATCAGTTGTTACTATCTCAAGTTTATAATTGATTCCATTCGCATTAGAATAATCTCGACCATTAGTAATTCACGAACTGCCGTAAAGAAAACCAAACTAAATCGTAGTCGAATATCGAGATATAACAAGGTTGTGAAAAGACTCAACGATGAAATCTAAAAGTCATCTGTTAATTTCATTCGTGAGTAATCTATAATATTCATATTTTCTAGTCATATATGCTTTAAAGGACTATCACTGACGTTTATTGAATTGCTTCATCTTTTATAAATTTTCTATTTTGCATATAAGTATGCTCTTTTCCTCGAGTAAAAATACTGTTCTGTTAACTACCCATATTGCCTTTTGACATTAATCTATTAAAGAGTTTAGGTCGTTCATTCGACATCATAAGGGGTTGCCAATTTGCCGTATTACATTATTGTGTATCGATCATTATATTTATCACTTTGGGATAAAAAAAGCATGGTAACCAAAATTTAAAACTATATTTTGTAACAAAAAAATGTAAAGTATTTTTAAGAAAATATGATTACCTACTAAGTTGGATATGGCAGCAAAAGCCAATCCACAGAAATAGCATAATTGAGTGTAATAGATAATATACACAATAAAAGAAAGTCTTTCAAACAATTTGAATGCTAGAGTTTACATCACGTATTGAGATTATTTGGATAGCTGTTGGAAACCAGAAAGTATTGGACAGATCTTTCGTACTCATACGGGACTCCTCAAGGATGTGTCCCGAATCCCACCGAGATCGAACCCGGGATCTTCAGTTCTTCAAACGAGTGCTTAACCTTCAGATCACTGAATCAAGATTAAGCGGTTTCCATTTATAACTTTAAGTATTTGGTGATACCATAAAATTCAATCATTTTTATAAGCATAATTCTAATATAGATTTTATTTTATTTTTTACCAAGTAGCTAAAAACTTGATGACAGCCTGAGGGAGAGACCAAAAATTTTATTCCTGCTGCCTTGAAGTATTATAGATGAAATAAAAATAACACACGCGAAATTACCTATTACTAAGATATTTCTCACAGATAGGGCACGGTAAACTGGTATTTTGATTATGAATTTGGTTAAAATGTGTCGTTAGATTCCCTTTCGTACTGAAAAAAACACCTGAAAATCAAGCAAACCGATATAGTTCACCACATGATAAACAAATAAGTTATTCAACCGTAATTATTACAAAACAATTTCACCACAATAATATGAGTAAACCGTGGTGATTGAAATATATACTTCATAATGATAGTGTGACATATGTAGTCAAATGATACTACAATAAAGCGTAAGGGGCATTGTCTCATAATTCTATTCTTATTGAAATCATTTTTGGTTGGAAAACTTTAAGCTGTCCCTTTATCATCAACTGATTTTCAATCGTTGAGTTTTAAGTTCAACATTGTTTTGTCTACATATATTTGTAAATGGGGATAGCAATCACTAGCCTACAATACAAAACGAGGAGTAGAGCAATCTTTATTCGATTATTGGTTTGTATCAGTTACTAATATGAGAAATGCAGTGACATATTAAAAGAAAACTGTAGAAAATTATGCATAAAAATAGTAACATATGGAAAGTCGGTAGAATACCCAAACAACTGTTAAGCAGATGGTATCGTGAAAAGAAAGTCCTATTCAAATTGTCTATAATGGAAACTATCCTGAGATAAAAAATATTTCTGGATACTAATTAGTTGGAGAATAATAATGATAATGATGGGTTAGTGGTTAAAATACTGAGCTTTAAACAACTAACAGGTTCAAAACCCCAATACACCTAGTTCAATTTGGATACTTAGACAGAATCACTAGGTCTTACAAAAACAGTGTGGCTGCAAGCCGAATACGTAAACTTGTAATTGTTAAGTAAATTATACTGTAGTATAAATATTTCATCATAAATGATGCTATTCAATGTTGAAATTAACGAATAAATAAAATACTCGTTATAATTCATGCTTAAAATATAAGTGTAAACCCAGAGAATTTCACAAATTGTCATGTAAGAATAATCAATTCAAGGGCTTTTACCCATTTCATAATAAATTTTAACTTACCACAATCTTGACAAAGAAACTTTTTACCTCGATGAACATTTTTTAAATGTTGTTGATAGTGTGCCGGTGTTTTGAAGCCGACTTTACACTTCTACAAATCAATAATTAAACAGAAGTAATTAAATAATGCATAAAATAATAATACTTAGTTAAAGTGATTTGAGTAATTCAGGTAAACGTACGACCAAACGCGACAATAATCCAACCCCTAGTGTTGCAATACCTTTTCACAAAAAAGTACAAGGGGATAAACTTTTAGAGGAAAGGATAAATCGAATCTCGTTATTTGAAGAGTTGTGTTATTATAGGTCATCTAATTTCTGATAAATGTAGTGTAAGTTTTGCTTCAGGCTTTTATGATGATACATAATATATCGTTTATAATTAAGACCACAATATTTAAAAAATCATGTGTCTAGACTTGTTTAGAAATTAAGCGTTAAACCAAAACGTTATTGTAATGGAATATAATAAGGCGGTTTTCATTCACTGACATAAAAGTACCTCGAAAGAATCAATAGTTCAAAAGATGTGATTAGTGATTAGATTCAACAGATAAGCTGATGGATTACTAGACCAGTAATACAATAAATGTCAGCTCGAGAATACACGAGTTACGTTATAGGGAAAACGTAACTTACGGGTCTAAAAGAGTGACACAACAAAAAGTACAGAATGCGGAATGTAAGATTCAGAAATAAAAAAATTATTGAAAAATTGTCACATCATACATTATTAGGTAAAATATAGAAATATCCTGAAGAAATATCATTTTAAAAAATTATGTAAACAATCAAAACTAATCAAACATACTGTACAAATTCGTCGCCAATTCCCGGCACTAAAATATGTACACGAAGTTTTAGCAATCGAGTTCAGAGGTACATCACATTTTCGAAGTTGAATTTGACTATTATCACGGTGAAATGTGGGAAATACATCATTATTTTCTGGTTGATCATTACAATCATCTATACAAATATAATTTGAATGTGAAATAATTGTTTTTGTAGGGTAATTTACATTAGTTTTATGTAGAAAAGCGAAATTTTGGAAGACATTAATAAAAGAAAATCACCATCACTCGCAATGTAATGAACGGTTTTCTTAGACACAATCAACAAGTAGGAATATCAAGCGTAGATAAAATTTAAAGACCAACGAATATTAATTAGTACTATAATCACTTTCTAAAGGGAAAAATTAACAAGCTCATCAAACATTTCTTTATACTCACTCATAACCTTATATGTAAGTTAAGAACTTTTATTTATCTCTTATGTTAGAAAGAAATAGAGAACGTAAGAAGAGAATACTTTTATCTAACAGCTAAACATTTATAATCAACTGAAATTAACACAACAATATTTAAGTAAAATTGAAGATTAGACATCACACAAATTATTTGTGTTCTCGTTAAATTTACTGTTAAAACGGGATAAATTTGTAATTATCATTTGTATAGGGATGATAGCTAATGTCAAGTCAATCTGATTAACATATTCACTGAATGAAATGGATTAAATTGTTTTGCTATAAAGCCGCTTCTTTAGTCTTTCATAAAGGTTTATCTATAGGATGACTTTCTGAATTTCGAATTGATCAACATAAAAGATGACTAATTAGACTTATTAACGTAGAGCCTGGCACATGTGTCTGACCCATGTAGCTATACTAAATTCGCATGATGACGTGAACATAACACGATAAAATGCAACAAAAGCCAAGATAATGTGGTAGCAATTATAATAAAAAAACCAAACATTGAGAACATTGTTTAAAAAACAGAAGAAATTGTATTGAAAAAAAGAATTCAAGTTCTAGAGGAAGACAAAGAGTAAATGCACCTATCCCATTATGAACGGTACTAAACCATGTCACAATCTGCAACCAGTGTTCACCATTACGACGAAGACACCAAACATGTAGTCTGTATCTGTTAATATGCTTCACTGACTTCATAGACATACGCCACAACTTGGACTTCGGTCGATTAAAATTTACATTATTACTCGACTTCCCATCTCTGACAAGTACCCTGTGCCGAACCTTAATATTACTCACTCAATTGTTTCACAATAAGCAAACAATGCTTCGAAGACACCTACGATCGAAATTCTGCGAACTACGAATGTCTTTTACTTTCAAAGCCCAAATTTTACGGCTGTATAGTAAGACAGATCTGACTGATACACAGTATATGCGCTTTTTGTTTGACAAACGAACATCTCACCTACGCGACCAGTGGCGCAAATTGGCAAAGACCAAACAAGCCTTCTAAATCCGTGCTGAGATTTTGTCAAACACCCATCCCTCATGGCTGACTAAAATTCCAAGATAAGTGAAGTGATTGACGCGCTACTTCAGATTTAACGTTGATACAGTCTGGTCCTGAAGCTATATTTTGTAGTTGAAGGGATAGAAACGCGTCCACATGTGTTTATATTATTGCTCAAGGCAATCAAAACACTACGTTTTCTCAGCATTTTGACCAAGTAAGACTAGATCGTCGGCGTATTTGATGGCGATGAGTGAACTTGTGGTAGAACCTCAACCCTCAAGAAGAAAGTGAGGTTTCTAGAAAGATATCTATGACGAAATTAAATAAAAAGAGGGATTGCGAGTAACTCTGACGAACAGCAATTTAAGCTGACAATTCTGGTGACAGTTCGCCGTAATCTCGGACTCGGCCAACAGTGTTCGAGTAGAGGGCTTTCACAAGTTTCAAGTGCTTCTTTGTCAAGTAGTTAGACTAATAAAATAGGATTATCAGACATTAACCCAAATCGTCTAAGTTTTGTTAATAAATGTGAATTTTTTTGGTAACGGGACTTAAGCAACACTTTTCATAATTCATATCTCCCTGCAGTCTTTACTACTTCTGATTGGTTTTTACGACTATTAGTAGGTTTAATTCCCTGTGTTCCAAGGTCATGTTTCGTTAAATTGTACACAGAGATGTTCCACTTCGACTATGATTTCTAAACTTTCAAAATATCAAGTTTTATCCGCACTCCCAAATATGACAGAATCCTAAACTGGTTTTCCAGAATTCAGCTCAGAAACAAAATCATGTTAGATAAATGATGCAGTTGCTTTAAATTTTTAGATTGTACGTTAGATATCTTTCCTATATTTCATGATATACATAACATATTATACTAATAATTCCCCAGTTCATTACAATATATTTGGTACAGTAGGGAATCCCCAAAATAATAATTACAAAAAAATA